CTTGGATCGGCCCTGTGTCTGTGGCCACAGGGGACTGGACAAGGAGCAATGAATGGTATTAAATTGCAGCAAGGGAAAGTTAGATTGCAAATTAGGAAAACTTTTCTCACTATGAGAGTGATAAAGCATAGGAACAGGCTATTCAGAGACGTTGTGTAATCTCCACCCTTGGACATTTCTAAAAGCAGGTTGGACAGACACTGGGCTGGGATGGTTTAGTCAAGAATGATCCTGCCTTGAGCAGGGGGTTGGACTAGATGACTTCCTGAGGGCCCTTCTAACACTATAACTCTATGATAAACTGTTGTCACATTTCATTTCAGAAGCAGCTGCATCTTAATGGCTGCTTAGGCGATTTATTCAGAAAGTATATTGCATGTGCTGGGCCCTCTTTCAACTCTTAAAATACACTGTGCGATTGTATAAACATACAGCCCACCTGTCCTGATGGAACAGAGAATCATCTTTTACAGAAACTCTTTGTTATTCATTGGATTTCACCCTATAGGACAGAAGGGTCTTGAACCCACTGGACTGCCACAAAGGCTGCAAAGTATACAGGGATCTTGTTGGATGGAGGTGTTTGGCAAGCACATGGCAGATTTGTCTTGAGCATGAGGCATTTTAGGATTTATTTGCCAGCAGGCACCAGGAAGGAAGAGGAATCCTCTTCCTAACAAGATGGAATCAAACAGGTTAGTGAAAACAACTTTGTTGGGACCGTGACTTGGGTTGATATCTCTAAACACCACGATCCAAGGAGAATGCAGTGGGCACTTACGCCCTGTCAAAGGCTGAAACCTAGTTGGCCTTAGTGCACCCAAGACTGAGAGCTTATAGCACTGACCCAGAGCTACAGTAAGGTGGCTGTGTTTCATCCTTTGGGGGTGTAGCACATATGGCACAGATATAGCATGCATTACTCCACTGCTCATGGGGGAATGGGCCTTTAACAGCAGAGACATGCCCAGACTCCACTCCCTATTGCCAGTCTCCTTTCTTCACTAGGTCATAGGTTCATGTTCAAGTTAGATCAAGGGGGGTGGGGACCAAAGTCCTGCAAGCATACTCTTGCCAGCCCCTTGGATAAGAAGAACATTTTGTTCTCAAACTGTGATATAACAGTTCTCCGTGGGAGCCAAAATCCTATTAAATTGAAAATTAAAGAGTTGGCTCTATCAGTGTGCTGGATCCTACTCTTCTACTGTACTCACTAATGAAACACCATTTTCCCCAAGCTCTGGCATGGTATTTGTATGTGTTATGTGCACTGATAGTTTAACTGCACTAGGGAAAAAGAGACTTGTTGAAAATTGATGTATCTCCTTGAAGCTAATGGAAAGGTGTCATTTAAACCAGCTGAGGAGCTGATCTGTGGCTTTCTCAGATGCTAACAAGATTCCTAAGGACCTAACAGTAAGAATGAAGTCACTGGCTAAAGTCTTTGCTATATCAGCTTCTTAATTACGGATCCTTCCGTGGGAGTATTTTCTTGTTCGAGATGAAGCAAAATTGTGCCCACTCATGGGTATTGTTCAGTCAGGTCTGGGTTCTTCCGTGAGCTCTAATGGCTTTGCACTTTGGTCCAGCACTAACAGCTTGGAAGATCCTGTGGAAAACTCGCCCATCATATATACAGCTGCTGTGAAACTGGAGGACCGTAAAGATTCACATGACAGGTCAGTGACAGGATGCAAAATCAGGTTCAAGGTTTGTGAAGGAAGACACACCCAAATACCAGGGTAAAGGCCCTTGCCTCAAGTTAAACTGATGTAGGTAAACCTAAGCCAAGCCACATGGAAGCCAACAGATAATATATGGGTGAACAGATGCATAGTGGGCACTATGTTACAGACTGAGCGCCCCAGAAGGGGAGGGAATGGTGAGTGAAAAACCTCAAAAGGCAGCAGCGTCCTAGGAAAGGCTCTAGAGGTGATGGGGATGACATGCTGCTCCATATAAAGCAAGTGCTATGCCAGTTTGGTTTAACAGCTACATGTCAAATAGGCAGAGTAATCAGCTTAGCTGAGTGCTGGTGAGGCCTCCACTGGAGTATCCTGTTCAACATTTGTTAGGCACCACATCTGGAGGAAAAGACAGATAAATTGGCAGGAGAGTCAGAGGTGATCAAGCAAAATGGCTACAGCCTTGGAAAATAAGGCCCTATGGGACAGGTTAGGGAGACTGAGCACGTTCAGTCTAGAGACAAGAAGGCAGAAGGGAGACTTGATAATTATCTCTAGCTACATAAAGGGATGCTCTAATGAGTAGAGGGGCCAATTATTCTTATTAGTCCAAAGGGCAGAATGAGCAGTAATGGGCTTTGAGGGAGACATGGGGAAATTAAGCTTAGTATTGGAGGAGGAAAAACTTCTAACTAGGAGGACAGTTCAGTGATGAAAGGAGCTGTCAAGGGAGGCTGTGGTATCATTGCCCTGGGAGCTGAGATGAGAAACCCCTTTACCACAGTTGCTTCAGGGGTAAAGGAATAGATCCTGACATGCTTTAGATGTTTGGAGATGATGGACTGGAGGGGCCTTTCAACCCAAGGCCTCGTTAGGGGTCATTCATTTCCATCTTCACACTTCACCTCCCCTCCTGACTTAGCTGGCAGTTTGGGGTGGAGGTACCATACCTATGTGTGTAGCTTCTGATTAATAAATCTACTCTGGAGCCTTGAGATCACTGGCTGGGGTAAAAAGATGTGTAGCCTCTATAGGTTTCTAAGAAGTCCCATCCTCTGCAAAGAAAGTTTGTGTAGCATCTTAAAAAGCCAAAGGCCTAGGGGGTCTGTTGAAATGAGCTTCCCCACAATGCTTATCTGTAGGGGAAGTGACATTTTTTCATCCCATGCAGGTGCACATTGCTACAGTGACTCATACCCTATTCTGGGCAGTTGGAGACAGCCAAACAAGTGGCTTAACTGCATTCAGAAAGAAGAACTGGAGGCCACAGGCCATGCTGACCAGGTCTCTATATACTCCCAGCCCACCCCTGTCCAGCAGAGGGAGAGCAAAGGGGGAGCTCATGTAACGAGGAGAACAAGGATGGAGGGCCATGGACACTCCAGAACTGCAGTAGTGGCTTTGTTGTTATTCCAGAGCCCAGAGGAAGATAGGCCCCTCCTCTGGTTTATGGCAGGCCCTTCCGCAACAAAACCTGCCAAGGAAGGGAAAGGGTGTATTAGAAGAGGGCTGGGTGGGGGTGAGGGAGAATAACTGAAAAAAGGGATTCACTTATGATTGATACTTTATTTATATGTAATGTGGAAACAACTTTGAGCATTTTTATATCCTCTTTAAAACCAGGATCATGAACTGGGACAGCAAAGACCCTGATCTTGGAAAGTACTCAGCACCACCAAGGTGCATTGTGGCAGGATGATAGTATTGTGGTTTTGTCAGATATGGACAGGATTGAGCCTGCAACATTCAATGGGTGTTGGACTCCTGACTCCTCTCCTGTGGGTTGGGAATTCCATCTCACCCACTGTGTGGAAGGACCAGGTCTCTATTCTCCTGTGGTGCCTACTGCACCAGAGTTCCAAAATAATTAGTAGTGTCAGTGATCCTTCATTAAGGGCTTTGAACAGGCTGTAATAATTCTCCATACAAGCCAAGAAAAAATTACTGCCGCTCGGGGGAGAATTTAAGAACGTTGGATTGGACATTTTGTCTGATCTCTGGCAGTGCTCATTTACTCTTAGAAGATGAAACCTAGGCTCTTTGCACTGTGACAGCATTCCTCGAAGCTTCATTCAACAGGGCCCTATGGTGGCAGGGTCTGTACAACCACAGTGAGAGACAATCTTTGAGTCCAAAGGGCTTATAAGGGTCAGATTCTATTATAGCTGTTGAGTGCCTAAGTGTGATCCTATTCTGCACTGCTAAATACATGAAAAACAGTTTGTATAAAAAGTGGGTGGGTCTTCCTCTGCTTCACTGCCTTTCTTTGACTTAGGCCCCTCTTACACATTACATATATTATGCAATTCACAGGTTAATTGCACAATTAATTTAGACCTGCTACAAATACAAAGTAATTATCACAAGATTAACTGGTTAATCATGTAATAAATAGATATCAGCCAGAAATACAAAGTAATTGTAACACCATAAAAATGTCTATTCAGCTATAAAAAGAACCAACCAGCTTCAAAGTTAGTGCTTGAAAATGTGTAACAACTCTAGCTGGTTTCTATCCAGCTTTAATTTGAACATGTAGCAGAGCCCTACGGGGTGCCTTATGTCCATATAAGGTGCCTAATAGGTGGAACAGAAATATACAAAACAGATAAGAGGTAGAAGGGTAAAGGGCAGCAAACCTAATCAATACCTTGCAGCCAAGTGGGGGCCAACACTTTTGACGGATGTGCTGCTAATTAGCTCTGTCCTCTAGCCAAGTGCCACTCCAGTCCCCTTCCCCTGCCTGATCTACTGTTCTGCTTTCTGCTCTTAGATCTATGCTCCCTGCCTGATATGCTGCTCTGCTTTGTGCTTCCTTGCCTGTGCTCCTTCTGATTGGCTGCTTTGCTTTTTGCTTCCTGTGTTACCTGTCCCCTCCCCAATTTGCCACATGCCATACATAGAGGCTGCTCTATCCCATTCTTTTTTATTTTAATCATTACTCTCCCTCCTCATATTTTATTGTTATTGCTCATCTTAGAGATCAAGACAAGAATGATAGCAATGGTGATTCCCCATATTTTGATGAGAGATCATTTGGAAATGTCACTATCAAATTGTAGCATCTCTTTTACAGGTTGTGTATACAGCCAATTTTGTTCGTCTGGAAAAAAAATCTACATTAAAACATGTAAACCCCCAGATTCTTTTTTTCCCCTGAAGCATTTCCTGGATTTTTGGTCAAAAACAAAAAATAGAAAATTCCAAACAACAACAAAAATCCCCTAGTTTTTTCCCTTTTTTGAAAAAAGTGCAGGGGAAGGGA